AATTTTTAAGTTTTTCTCTTTTTTTTTTTTTGGAAAAATAAATATAAAAAAATTTTAAATGTTTTTTTATTTAATTTATTAAAAAAACAAAAATAATTATTTCAGATATTGCTGTATTTTTCGAGCCCATGCCATTGAAATGAGCTTCATTATTAAATTTAGAATTGTCAACCTTAAATTCAAAACGCCATTTTTCTATCTAGTTTATCTGGAAATTGCACTTAAATATTTTTAAATTTTTGACGTAATACAAGTCTATTATCTTGAGCTTTTTCCTTTTGTTTCACGACTTAAATCTGTTATGAAGTTTCTCTGAAATTTTTTCGGCAACTTTTTCGAATATTGGTCCTACGAGACGTAAGAAAATTTCAAGAAAAATCAAAACAAAGGTAAGGATAAAAAAACTATTGAGAGACGCTCTGGAAATAACAGTAATAGTAAGAAGGAGTTCAACACCCAACCCAGTATTAAAAGTATGCAAAAAAAAAAAAATTTTTTTTTGCAATTTTTTGTAGCTTTTGCACCAGTTTAACCTAAACTGTCTACTTCTATTCATATTTCACCAATTTCCAAAATTTTCTACAAGAATTACAGAAATAACTTTAATTTTTATGGGAGTGTAAGTGAATTGCCATATTATATTGAATCCCCATTGTTATCTACCGCATTGCATACTTTAAAGGCGATTATATGATGACATAAAATCGGCCGAAACTATTTCAATGAAATTTTATATCTATTTGAATTTATTTCGACAATGTTACAGAATAATAAACTTTTGGGATATTTCAGCCTTCGGGAACTGAACCTTTTTATGAGCTCCGATTTTACATTTTTCAAAATCAAAAAAAAATTTAATATTTTTAATCTATAATTTTTAAATTAAAGGGGTGTTACAAAAATCGAACGCATAAGTTTAGTGTGTAATTCAGCTAACTAAATGAATTTCTTGGAATTTAATATTTGAGTTCAAGTTGTTTGACTTTTATATTTCCAACACAATAAATGTTATTTTTGAGGAAAAAAATACTGTATAATTCACCCTATACCAAAATTTAAAAAAATCTTTGATACTTTTACCATATTTTCAGTATAAGGAAAAAATTTAAAATTAAAGTTTTATTCTAAATACCACAAAATTTTGAAAACTACTTTTTAAGTTTCGAAACTATTTAAGATTATTATCCAAATTTTTTATTTTTTTTTCCTATAACAATTCTTAAACAAGGAAAAAAAATTTACATATTTTTAAGGACCCAAAATTACTTTATATATTAACAAAATAACTACATTATTATATACAAACATATTGATGACCACATTGTCCTCACATTGTCCTTTTTCTACATCAATATCTCTTATAAAATGTAAACCTTCTGTCATCGTACTTTAAATTATGTATATACTCTTTAAAAACAATAATCCTTTTATGACCTACATCTCATTCTTTATTATAGATAAAAAAAATATAAAATAATATTTACTTATACATATACATACATACATATATGTTGCACTATATTCATAATGTCGTCATCGTTATTATAAAAATTAAATTTGTGAAAATTTATCAACCCTTTTCTAAATTTTTTTTTTTTTTTTCATAATATTACTAAGTTTTTATGCCTAACCTCAAGTTTTATGTAGAATTTCTTTTGAACAAAAAAAAAAAACCATTTTACTAATTATAATGGAATTGTTGCTTCAATTTTTTTTTTATTTTAGTTTTTTTTTTGCTATATAGCCTCGATAAGCAGCAAGAACATTTTATTATTTCATCCTTTTTTCTATAAGATACCATGTATGTAGGAGAATTTCTATATATATATATAAACACATTAATTTGATCCTTTCATTTTCTAAATAAGGAGCATTCATTTTATTAATTGAAAAAAAAAAACAAACAAAATCCTCCAACTACAGAAATATATATATGTATGTATGTAAAAAAAAATTTATAAATATAATATGGTAGTCATGGCCCCGACCCCATTTTATTTTAAATAAGATGTTACATGCCTATTCGTTTTTTATAATATGAGTTTATTTAATATTCATCCTACATAATTAAAAAAGAAAAACACCTAAAAAACATACATACATCCTTTTATACAACCTCAAATTGTTAATTTTATGAAATAATGTCAAGCAAAACTTAGTCATAAAATTTTCAAAGTTAAATAAAGTAGTTATGAGCATATAAGATCAAAATGATTTATTGACATCAATAAAGTTATTTAGAATATAGTATAGCCCCAATGGATTGTAATTAGTGATGGGTCTATTAATAATTGATTCATTTACCATTTGCAAATGTGGTAATTATTTTTATTAAATCATTTTGCATTTTAGTCCTGGTTATGTTTGGTACATAGTTCATTTTGCAAAAATTAATAAAATTGTTACTAATTATCCAAAATTTTTTATAATCAGATTGAAATAATTGAAGTAGACATGGACTTTGAGATTCCGATGGTCGGGTATTACTACCCCAATCAAACAATTAATTTATACAATTTGAGTTTTATAAATATTCAGTAGTACAGCACTTTTGATAATGGTACACTAGATTTTAGAGAAAAGCAAATTATAGGAAATCACTTATAGACTGGTTATTTTAATATTGAAGAATATCATGAAAATATAATCTCAACTTAAAATCCATTAACTATGTGGCCATAATATAGTATCCTGAAAAAACTAAATATTTTATCTTAAAATAATAGGAGTGAAGCTTTAGATTTACATATAAAAATTGAGAATGAATTTCAAATCACTTGATAATTTACATTACTTTACTTATTTTGTCGGCTAGTGCATGCTATCATAGAGAGTCATACCCCAGTTTCATTGCGTCATAGATGTTTTAATCAGGTGGGTGACTAACCTACTGTAGTAATATTATTATTAAAGATTGTTTATTTTCTTAGTTTAATGTCGTGTATTATGGATATATGAAAACTGCATATCCATAATAATCAACATTAAATAGACCTGACCAGGATTTAAATCCATGAAGACATGTGCCTTAACTACTGCAGCAATGGTAAGATTATTTTAACCCTGTAATATAACACAACTACATCTAGTTTACTACTACAAATTACCCTGGTAAAAACTAGTTTATTGGTTACTTACTATCCAGCAAATAGTATTACACATTCCTCGAAACATTGAAAAAAATTAATAACCCTCTTGTTCTATCAAAAATTTCAAATCCTTATTCTGTAACAATTTAGTCTATGATCTATTATAGTGAACTTATATATTAAATGATATTATTTTATTGATATGCTGCCAATAATCAGCATAATTGTATTACATCAATTATTCCCAATATAAACAAAAAAATATTTTAACCAAACCAATATTTTAACTTTATTCTTACCCATTCAATTAGATTTTGCTATAAGAATTCACTACATAGTTAATTGAATTTGCTGATTAATGTTTAAACATCATAAAATCCTATACAAATCTCATAAAAGTGACAACTATATTCCCTTAGGTGTAGGCAATCATGACAACATTATTTTAAAAAAAAAAAATTTTTTTTGGTAAAAATGTTTTGTACATAGATTTCTTAATACGTAGAATTTAATCTCATATTAATTGCGAGCAAAACATTTAACATCGATGTGAGCAAAACTTTAAAACAAAAATACATTTATTCTACAATTACAAGCGAAAAACAGAAAATATATTTACAAGCGTTAATTAAATAACATATTTAACATTACAGTTATATAATTTTACAATGAGAGTAATTTAATTTTCCACTTATGAGACTTATATACATTTGTACATTCATGCAAAGTGTGAGTAGGAATATTTGTTTTTTCTTTTATTTCATGAATCACAATCATTGGGATTGCCAACTTCAAATTTATTTTACGAATATTTATATTGTCTTTGATAATGTAAAAATGATAAATACATGTAATTGCACACAAGTTCCTACAGGTGTTTAAAAATTTAAAATTATTTGTAATAGTAGTCGAGGTTTTCGTTCTCGAGGTTTGAGTTTCTATATCCACACAGTTGGTTCTAGGACACCCAGTGGGGGTATGGCATAATATTTGCGAGGAAATTGGACATAAATTATCTGTTAGGCTGCCGGACAACAGTAGCGCTAGACTGATGCGCCTGAGGTGGCGTCCAATATGTCGGTTGCAACCATCAGCAGGGCGGCTGCTGGTGCGCCAGGATCCTCCACTATCAAATCTAGTTTGGTGAGGCGGTTGAGGGCGGTCTTGAGGACTTTTTCTTGGGTTATGTAGAGTGACTTCTGCTGGGTTTAGGGACACATCAATGTCTAAGGGAACGAGAGGACCTCATTGGAACGGGCCTCATTGCGGGCGAAGGCCTATACTGTGGCAATGGAGTGGTCGATGCTTTCTCCCTTGGGAGAGTTGAAGAACATTATAGATGAGGAAACTGGGGGGAGAGGAAACTTACTTTGGGATGCCAGGTAATATTTTTTTTTTTTGCTAAAAATCATCAAGAAATAAAGACGAACAGTCTTAAACTGTAATTAGCCCAATCAATAGTGGGAGATTTTAATCCAACCTAAAGCCCACCTGAATGCTCATAAGCTCCTGAAATGAGTCAAACTAGTTAACCATTACTTTTGCTTTATTATATGTTTTTATTTCTACATTCCGCCAAGAAAGGTATGTTTTCAATTCAGACCCACGATCTAGAAGCCATAGTCGTTTTCTCTATGTTCGTTTTCTTTTTCTACTTTTTCCGAGGTATTGTTTTGTGTTTTGTATTTGATATTCAAATTTAATTGTGATTAGTCTGTATTGTCAAAACAAAAAATTACCCAGAAGTTTATTTTTTGTAAATCTAAGAAAATTAAAATAATCCGATTTTGTAAAAATGTAAAAAAAAAATTGTTGCAGTTGGAGCAAAATTGTGTTTGTCACTCAACTCATTTCAAATTTCATTTAAAGTGCAATTAATTTCTTTCATTCATTCAAATTCAAAACATAAAGATGAAAGCAGTAAAAGTGAAAAAGTTATGCGAAAGTAATGCTGCATATTTCTAAGAAAGTCAAAATTTTTCATCCGAGATAAGATCCGAATTAAGTTGAACTTAAATAGCAAATTCTACTAGCAAAAAATTTTCACTTCAAACAGTTAGTACGTTAAATTTCGCAGCTAATTCACCTACATATAATAATAAACAAAACAAGAACTAAGCAAATAAAACTAAATCCTTTGTAAGTACCAAAATTTGAATGTGCTTTTCCTTTTCCTTTATTCTATTCTAGCTTCCAATATAATAAAAAGATAACAGAAACACACAGTTTACAATAATAAAATAGCTGCAAAACTAATTTTTTTTTAATTTTATCCTTAAATTCTTTAAATTTTTTTTTGTTCCATACACGCAACGCACTTACAACAATAGACATTTACAGTTACGTTTCCTTTACTACAAATATATAATTTTGTCGGCTCTTTTCTATCAATTTTGTATTCTTTTTTTTTTCATATACCAGTACACACCTGTGGGAGCAGTCAACCTTCAAAATATTAGCATTAGGCGACTCATATGATATGTACATATATTAATATAGTAAATATACAGTGAATCTAGAATTTGTTTTTCAATAAAACATACATGTTAACATAGACGTGAATATGTAAAAATATGAATTACCATTTTTAAAGTTAAAACTGCGTGAAAATGCCATTGAAGTCATCTTATTCTCTGTAATATAGTCATAGGGAATGGGTAAAACAAAACAATTGAAGATTAAATGAGGAATACAAAAACCATTCCTCATACCAAAACTTAGCATTCATGATGAAAATGATGATGATAATCATTATGATTTTTAATGATAATAACATGGTGATTGTAATAGTGTTTGTTATTACAATTAATGAAAAGTGCTTTTAGGACCATACAATTTACAATAAATAGGTGAAGTAGTTATGTTAATGGTCGCATAAATAAATTATGAAAAATTAAAAATAGTTTTACAATGTTTTATTTTAAAATATTCTCGGGCTTTCACATAAATAAATTTTCTTTTGAAATTGCTTTTAATAACTTCATAAGCACAACTTCAAATGCCTCTGCAAGAAATTGCTTTTAATAACTTCATAAGCACAACTCCATGTGCCTCTGCCAAAAACGTTTCCTGATGGCAGTGTCCAAATGTACCTTTTATAGTTTATGCCCCCATTATGTACACTACGATCCGACCACTTCCGTTTTCCAATTTTAGCCCCATAAATGTAGAGAATAAGCTTTAGAACCGAGTTACAAGGCATCCTCCCCATTTCGGAATCTCTAGAATTACCTTTCTAACAAATTAATAATGTATAATATTACTATAATATTAGTCTTTTAATTGATACTCAAATTGTGTGACCCTGAGTTTCTTTGCTTAATAGGCCGGTTCTCATATATGACCGAAAACGATGTTATCTTACCATTAAACGAATAATAGTGATTTGAAAATACCGACAACGTACGCTGTACTGTACAATCGCTTATGGATTTCTGAAACGAGCTCTGCGGACTTCTATAAAACCAATCAGTTTCTCAGTTTCAAATTATTTTTTGGTTCCTTGCAGAATTAAATGTTTTTGCTCACAAAAGAGGGAGGCGTAGTCTAGAATTCGGCTGTAAATAACCGTGTCTTAAATAAACTTTGGCCATTTCTTTAACGAAACGTTTGATGACAATTTGCTACAGCCTTGCTTTGACATTCACCTCATATTATTTCTATCTTCATATCAGAATGCAGCCGTAACAATGCCAATAGTTTAAATTTTTTTTAATTACTCTCCTTTAATTTTTAATCATAACATATTTTTACTCTCCTATTATTATATGCAAATACTAAATCAAGGTAAATACACTATTTCCAAAATATAGCGCCATTTAATAGCTTAGTTACCCTATAATATTGGAAGTGCGCTCATTATTCTAAATTAAAAAAAATTGTCCTAAAGAAGATTCATTTAAGGAAAATAAAAAAAAATAAAGTACTCAATGCTCGGTCATATACACATATGCGTACATATTTTCGCAAATTACGTACACTCACATGTGTATGAATGTGTGAATATGTACCTAAAGGTATATTAATGTGTGTAAACATTATTACACCTACTTTATACAGTAATTTATCCATTTTTTATATTTTTTAATTTTTGCCTTTTTAATTTCAAGTTTCATTTGAAAAAGGATAAAAAACACAAAAAAAAACAAAATGTGTAGGTATGTAAAGCTAGGTGATTGTACACAATACCTGTTAAACTAATAACATGACTTTATGCGGATTACATGGGTCAGTAATGCTATTCTTAACCGTTAATTTTTTATTTAATTTGTTTTTTTCTTTATTATTTTTATTATGATTATTATTTTATATATATATTTTTTTTAAGTAAATAGTTATTCATGGATGAAAAAATAAATTAGTCGAGTTGTAAGGATAAGAGCGTAAACTTGAATTATGGGTGAAATAATTGAATTTGTTGTTGTGCTTAACTTTTAACACATATTTTTTAAATAAGCAATTCTCATTTCCTTACACAAAATTTCCGATATAATATTAAATCAGATGACCGGATACAATGAAAATGGGAATTGTAAGAGATTGGAATATGAATAACAAAAAACAAAAATTATTTCCGGCGGATCTCCGAAAATTTTTCTAGAATTTATTATTTTTTTTCCTGATATAAATTACATGCATATGGGGGGAATAATTAAAATTTTCCATATTTAATATCGTTTATATTAAATTAAAGTGATAACTGAAGAGAGTGATTAACTAAAGAGTACTTAATTTTAAATAAATAAAAATAGAAAGAAAATTAGAATACGGGAAAATCTAGTGAGTGTTAAAAAAAAACTTTTAAGTAAAGAAGAATAAAGATTAGAAATTGAGTAAATACTCTGAATTCTCAACATACTACTCCATTTTCATGTGTTGTGTACTTACGTTACATACATACATGCAAACGGATAGAACTAAACAACCCAAATCAGGAAAATATTTTCATTAAAAACGGAAACATAAATGTCATAAAAATTATTCCGTAAGCCACAAAATTTATCGCATGATACAATATCGCATGACACAAAAATTTTTCAGTTGAATATTTATTAAAGTTATAAACGTTTTTTTTTCCAATAAAATTGCATGATACAAAAAATTTAATAAAAATAAAATTTTATAAGAATGTTTGCACATTAAATTTAAATAAAAAATAAAAAATTGTATGATATAAACTCAATATATATATATAGTGTAGGTAATTGAGTAAAATATGAGTAAAATATCAAAAAATAAAATTCAATTATCACAAGATTCAACCCAATCTACTTCATCACTACCACCACCGCCACCGCCGCCACCACCTCCACCACCTTTACCACCTCCACTACCACCACCTGCACCACCTTTACGTGAAAGTTCTATTTATAGTAATAGTAGTATTGATATTGGTAATAATAGTAGTATTGGAGCAGCAACAACAATAACAACAACTACAACAACAAGTGATGATGGTTCAATGACAAGTCAACAACAAAATATTGGTAATAATACAATTATATATTCAAGTGGTGGAAGTGGTAGTGGCAGTATAACAAGTACAGCACCAATTTCAACAACAATAACAAATAATGAGAAATCTAATAATGTAATTAATAAGAAAAGATCAAAACCTGGCATACTTAGATTAGATATAACAAAACCGAGACGTTCATCAGGTGGTTCAGTTGAATTTCGTTCACAACCAGATGTTATTGGTGAGGTAAGTTTTATAGAATTAAACCCAATTTGGTTTGTTTTTTTTATTAAATATACCAAAAAAATAATCTGCTTTAATGATGAAAACACGAATTTTTTTTTATTTTTCTTCTTCTTCATTATCCTTGTGTATACCAGATAATCATTATAGCGTGTTTATAGTGTAAAAGTGATGATATTGTTATATGTATAACATATTTTTTATTTAATTGTGTTTATATTTTTTTTTTTTTGCTCACTCATTTTATCTCTTTTATTTTATCATTGTTTTTGTTTTTGCTCTTTTTTCGACCTTAATTCAAGTTATTAGTGAAAATTTTTCACTTGTCTGGACTAAAATAATTACTGGTGTTATTTTTCATTTTCATTAAATTTATTCACCATTCCTTTTTATGAATTAATTTTTTTTTTTTGGGCAATTTTAAAATTTAAAAGTTTATTTTCAAAGTCTTTGACTTGATTTTCACGTTCGTTTTAAAGTAATTTACTTTGCTTTGTGTATAAAAATAAGAAAATTTTATTCAAGGATATTTTTTTTTGCTCCCTCATTTTTGAACGATTACATTAAACTTTAATGCGCATTTTAAAGGTGAATCAGTTTAGTGTACATAATTCCTTTGATATAGCTGCAATAGTACGAGGAAAAAAATATTGTTTGATTGTAAAAGAAAATTTTGTGGGTTTAATAGAAAAAATAATTTTTACATTTTAAAAGTTGAGAGAGTAACATTTTTTTTGGAAATATTATACTCGTATGTACTTGTAATTTTAATAAAAAAATTCCTTTTGAAAATTTTGAGCTTTTGAATTGAAAAGTTGAAAAGGAATTGCTTTATTGAAATTACAAAGCAATATTTAATGTGCTTTGTTAGGAAGAATCTGTTGCAAAAATGCTTTCTATACTTATATCACATAAATGAAAGACTGAGTATATCATAATATACAAATTTATATTATGATATACTTATTTATTCTTTGTAATAATATACTCATTGGTGTAATTGGATCAAGCTTTTCAATGTTACACGTCATAGTACGGACTATGAGTCTGATGACGCGTATATTGTACAAAGTTAACTTGTTTTCGTCTATTTTTGGTACGAACATAAGAGAGTGCTTCAGATCAGACTACAGGTAGCATTGATTTTCTTTAACTTATTCTTAATTCATGTGACTGTTTCTATTAACTGGCCGTACAGTAGTCAGATGCTTTTCGTGTTAGCTGTTTAAATTTTTAATTTACTTATTAATATTAAATTAATACTATTAAAATTATTTTTTTTTCGTACTTTCAATTTCACTTTCATTTCTACCTATAAATAATGACGATATTTGAGTGATAGTTAGCGTTGGCTTAATTATGATCATGTTTTTATTACAAAAATGCTTGTACTGAGCAATCGTCTGATATAAGTAAAGCTATTTATCGAAATATATGGTAACAATATAATCAGAATAAGAGGAAATTTTTATTTATTTCAAGCCGTTAACAGAGTCATTAGATTGACTTGTTTATAAAAATGCAAATTTTTGAGCTCAAAAGCTCGGATTCTGCAAACAACTAAAAATTTCAGTTTCTAAACATAATTATTAGCTATATTAAAAGAAAAAATATAATTCTCACAAAAAAGGACTAAAAAAATTTTTAGAGAGGACAATATAACGCTTAAATCTTGTATATCTTAAATATTTTGTTTGAATATTTTTACAATTCGTAAAATGTTGGTATTTTAACAGAAATTGCTTATGTTTTATATTAGTTGCAAATAAATTTTTTAGTGATATAAAAGAAAAAATTTTTAATTTAACATCATATTAAAAAAACAAAATTTTATAGTTTGTGGTTTTTGAGTTATACCACGTGTATTACAATTTAAAAATTATTGTGTTAAAATTTTACATCTATCCGAAACTCAAAATTCAATTATAAAGTATGCAATTCAAAAAAACTACGAGGTTTGTTCAGCAGGTAATCAATAAAAAAGAATGTGAATAATGAATACGATTTACTGAGAATATCTCTAGGGTATTAAAAATTATACACGCTAAAAGTTCATACTAATTTTGCAAGAAAATTTTGTTAAACTTTCTATTGTAGAGAGCGATTAAATTATTACAATGTGACACCATAATAATTTCTAACAAAATATTACCTTTAAAAATTATTAAATTATCATTACTTTAAAAATTTGCAGCTGAGTTCCTAGAACACAAACAATAGTGTGACTAAAATATTTCACGTTACCGTCATTATACTAGGAAAATTCAAATGTCACCCTTAAATATTAAAAATATTTAAATTATTAGGTAGAATTTTATATTCCAATGAAAACTCCTACATACCAAAGAAAAGAACAAGCAAAAAAAAATTCTTTCCTTTTAGCACTGATAGAGTCATCATGAATAAAGTTCCCAGTTTTGCCTTTCTACCATTTAAATTCAACAAATAAAATTAAATTCTAAAAAAAAATATTTAAATAAAGTTCAAGAGTATCTCTTACGTTGTTTTCCAAAATCCGTTGACCTCTTTTATGAGTTTTATAGTTTTTACATTATTCATTTTGATTTTTTTTAATTTTATTTTTTTTGCATATTTTATCCTTTTATATCTTTTCATTTTTTTTGATATTTTATTCTTCTTTAAGAATCCTTTTTAAATAATCACATATTTAACGATTTTGTATATAAAGAAACCATCATAATAGATAGACAAAATAGATAAGTTGTAGGGAATTAACCTAAATATAAAATTAATTGAATAAAAGGAAAAGATTACCCTCTAAAAATAGGTATAGGTATAACGGTAAAATGAAATGGAAATCAATTTAATACTGAAATGAAATACTGAATTTTTAAGAGCGAATATTTGAAGTTGGTCTGCTTAACTATAAAACATTTAAAATTAATTAAAGCAAATTCTCCAAAAATTCCCTCGATATTTGAAATTTCATGCTAGCATTTCTCAATTCTAGCCATGGTAACAGTGAAATGAGACTGCGTATATAGATCTATTGTGTTCCAATCAAGCACTTAAGATATTGAACTAGTATTTTATTTTGAGAACTCAGATAAAAACAATTTGTGTTTATTCTACGCGGAAAGCTTCATGATTCGGATAAATTTAGTATAATTTCTAAATCTTGCAAACTAATAAAGATTAAAGTAATCAACTTGGTACGAAAGTTTGGAATTTTTTCTTATCATAATTATTCCCTTGGATTCTATCTTAGGAAACTGTAAAATTTTATAAAATTTGACGAAATTTCAACTACAAAACAAGATTCTAAGAAACAAGATAATTAAATCTCTCGTATACTAGATTTTATCTCATTATTAAACCTATATTATTCAATAAATCGAAAAATGAAGTGCTATAGAGCTTAAAAAGAAAATTTAATAAGTTCATTTTAACAATATCATTGAAAGCATTTTAAAAATTAAATAAAAATAAAAACACCAAATGAAGTTTTAAATGTCAAAATTATCACGAGTAATGCGCCATTGAATTAGGGTTCATTCAATTTAATGGTAGTCGCGATTCAGTTTAATGTTCTTAGCATTTAGGACCACGAAATTATGCAAAAATTTTTTTTAATTTTAAAAATAAATTTCATTTTCCAATTCCATCACATTGAAATAAATTCCAAAAATTTTCCTGTGTGATATTTTTAAAACTTCAATGCAAGAAACACAAAACTTGTCTTTGTCTTCTACAGTGACGCAACATCATGTTTTTTTTTAAAAATATTCCAAAATTATTAGAAGACAAAAAAAAAAAATCAATAAAAAATATATGAAAAGAAATGACAAATGCCTATATTTATTATAGAAACCTTCTTAGCAACAACTTGTTTCAAAAAAGAACAGAAAGAAAGGAAAGAGATCTATCATAGTCTTTGAACTCATAAACAAGACAGAAAGAAATAAGAAAAAAAAATAATTTTTTCTTCGCGACATCAAAATAATTTCCTAATATTGTAATTAAACCTTAACTCTTCTATATGCTTCCTATGTTTCGTCCAATATTCGTTCATCCCATCACGTACTCAGTAGGAGCTTTATTCGCTCACTTGGATAGAAAAAGAAAACAAAACAAAAAAGAAAAAAATAAAACTAAAACAAAACTAAATCCAACAACGAATGAAAGTTTTAAGCTTTGGCACGTGCACGATTTTGCTGTGAATTTGAATAGTTAAGAGAGAAGGATGAAACGGACTGATTAAAAAAATATGAAAAACAAAAAGAAGAAATTTTTTTTTCATAATTTTTTTTTTTTTTGTATTCTATTTTTTTTATTTTTTATTTTATGTGTAAAAATGCCGCTCCCAAATATTTATAATAATTTTGAAAATTTATGTGCAAGAAATAAGAAAATCTTGTAAAATAGAAATATTTTTAATAATTTAAAATGTTGGTCACGATATTTTTCTTTTCATCCCTTCTTTTATTTTATAGTAAATTACAAGTTGTTGTTATGTAATGAATTTTCCATTTATAATCAAGCCATTTACCCTACATATAAAATTACTTTTGATGCAACTGATGTGGCTGCATATGTAACGTAAATTTAAGAAAAAAATTAAGTGAAATTATTCAGGTTGCAAAAATTGCATTTAAGAAATTTTAATTGAAAACTTCTGTATTGCAGCGAGAAATACATTTAGCGACAGAAGGATCGCTGGCTTCAATTGAAATTTTTCGTTCTTTTCAATCACATTTCAATATTTTTCCAAATTATTTGGAAGAAACATTTCTAAAAAAAAAAAGACAACTATAGGATTTCTGTAATTTGTTAAATTATACACCGCAACATTCAAGCCCTAAGCATGTGATGCGGCGTCGCAAATGGAACTTGTAATGACACCATTAAATTTTTTTAAAGAAAAATTTAATTTTATTTTCATGTAATTTTCATATTATAACCTTGAAAATTTTTGACAGGACAATATTCTGTTACGTTTTTTTTTTATTTGTTTTAATTTTCACATACAAGGATACATAAAG